AGTTTAAAGTCTCTCCTTCCAGAAGCGTCTCTGTCCTCACGACTCATCTGCTCATCTTTAGAAATGTCCTGAATGGTTCTGCCAGTCCTTCCTGATCCCCTGAGAGTTCTTGGTCTTGGTCCAAGACCTTTAAAAAAATCTGCCCCAATAGTTAGAAATACTGAGCAAACCTCTGCCTGACACATTAAGCATCGACGACCTCTGAACTGAGCGAGGGCAAATGTTCACGACGTCATTTAAGCACTGGGACAAAAACATAACACTGACGAGCCTAAAGGGTTAACGAATGAGTAATTATGGTCCCACTCTGGCAATCCTGGTTCCCAGTAAGACGTCCAGCTGCTCCAGAGATTGGTCCCATGATGAAAAATTGATATTGGGCCTGAAAACAAGACCAGTAATTCATGAACCTGGAGACAGTTATGGTGTCCCAAGGGTCATTTCAGGGATTAAATCTAGTTTAATGCTGATAAATCAGCGTTTAATAGACCCATATAAACATATCTCACTAGGACTGCAAAGATGGAGCAAATCCACTTTTATAAATTAGATAAGATATATTGTTAGAAATAGAACTGAAGTCTGGAGCCTCGTTGCCTCTTGGCTTTGCATGTAATGGCACAAATTTAGCTTTGCATGACCAGATTTGAAAAACCCAAATATAAAGTGAATTCAGGACAAATGAGATGTCAAGATGACTTGCAGTTGATTTGAATTAACAGCTGGTGAGCACAAGACCATTCATGTGGGGAGTCAATCTGGTAAGCCTTTCTGATGAAGGCCTCCTGTTTCCTGCGATTCCTCCTCTTCCTCCTCGTCCTCCATCCAGTCCATGTAGGATTTCTGGACTATCCACACGCGACAAAGTCCTGCTCTGGTTCAGACCAAAGTCCTCTGGCTGAATTTCATTCAGTCCAGGTGTGTCTGCGTTGGTGACTCCACTGGTGAAGGAAAGGCTAGAAGAACCAGCGAAACGCCTCACCGGCTGGGACGGAGGGCGGCCGCTGAGGAGCAAACAGAGAAGAAGAGTTGGTGGAAGAGATGAAGCCATTTGCCTGGCACATTGTAGCTCGACTTATTTATTCAGGTTTGCCTACTAATGAAATGAGTTCCCTCAACGGTTCAGAGTCTTTCTCAAGTCTTCACCCAGTTGACCAGAAACTTTCTCAGCTTCAAACGCAACAGATCAGACTGAAAGGTTAATGTTTGCATCTCTTGGAGAAAAACTTTCTTCTGTGAATCAGAGCATTTACAGGGAGGTATTACGTTTAAAGGGTTGTTTTTTTGGCCTTTTTGTTTTGGACTCTGCAGGACAAAATCTCTGCTGAAAGTGAAGTTCTGACAAAGCTTTAATGTTCAGTAAACAGTAAAGTTTCGGACCGAGGGAAAGTCTGTCGGGTCGACTTCAAAGACAGCAAAGAAAGGATGAGGCAAGAGAGTGAAACCACCTGCCAACACACACACACACACACACACACACACACACACACACACAGGACACACAGGTTCACACACTCGCTGCCGTGCACACGTGCCTGGTGCTGTCAGTCCGTGAGGCTCCACAGGTCCAATTAGTGTGTAATTGAGGAAGATTATGGCTGCTAATTCACTGTCTTCGTAACGCACACACTCCCTGTTTTAGCGTGGAAGGGAGGGAATAATTAGCGTTAGTTGGTAGACATTCCCACAGGAAGTGTGCGTGTGCACGCGTGTGTGTAAGAGAGATATATGGAGTCATCAGTGAGGTCGAAAACCGGTGTCAATGAATTATTGATCGCCGCTACTTCTTACGGCAGAGACGAGTGCTGGCACACACACCCTGAGGAGAAGGCAGATAACATAAATATTCTCCGTTTCCCGCTCTCTGCAGGCTCTCTTTATCTCTGTGAATCAGTGTGGAGCTGGTGTGTGCGTCGGTGTGTGTGCCGGTGTGTGTGTGTGTGTGTTGGCAGCCTGCCAGACCTCGGCAGGCTCCGAGCTCTCGCTTTTCACCACCCACCATCTGCACAGCACTCACACACACTCACTCAGCGGGGTGAGCGATGCCTTCCAGCCTCCCTGGCAGTCATCTGGGTTAAGTGAGCCAGGACACACACACACACAGAACCAAGCACACACACACAGAACCAAGCACACACACACAGAACCAAGCACACACACAGAAACATGTAGAGAGAAGTAAAACCAGATAGATTTTGGCTCCGTCGATGTGTGTACGCGAACATGTAGAGGGTCTAGAAAAGTCTTGAACGTTTCCTCATTTTGCTACATTATAACAACAAACTGTGTTTCAGAGGAAGGAACTGATCCAAGTGTTGCATCGTTTTGGAGTGGAGGCAAAATGGGAGAACATTTCAGGAACCATCTTTCACTGAAGGTAAACCTTGAAGATGCAGCTCAGCTCAGGCAGGTCTCCAACTGGTTTTCTGTCAGAAATGAGGATTTATGTTTCTCTATGTCTGTACTGAAGAGAAGAGTCTCCATAGGATGATGTTGCCACCACCGTGTTTCACTGTGGTTAGGGTGATCTGTAGTGTTGTGTAACTTTTCACCCTTTACCAGGAGAACCTAAAGGGCGGCTGGACTCTTCATGGTTCAGGAGGTTTTATAGCTAAGGAACATCTTTACTGGCTGGGACTGTAACATAGTTGGGTCAACCGAAAACATCTTTATTTGTTGCATAAAAGTTCAGTGAGTTTGATCTTTCTGCAACACAAATGCAACCACAAAGGAGGATGTTGAAGCGATGTTGAACATTCTGCTGTGTCTGTCTTTTTGTCCGACTCAGAGAAGAAGAAAACCAGAACAGGCTCAGAAAAAGAAATATGAATGAAGACTCCCAGATACTGTACACCACAAACCTTGTCCTACGTGGTTGAGATTTTCTGGTCGATCATATCGTTTGCATTCATTTCCTGTAACAAGTTCCTTCATTTCCTCCAGTCTGAATAGATTCTGGCATGTTTGATGAGCCAGTTGCCCACCAATCTGCTTTGTGCAACACAAAGTACTTGATCGCCAAAATTTGCCTTTGCCCATACGTGTCCGACAGACGTTTGCCTCTCGGACACGCAGATCTCCGTGGAGTGAAGTACAACCACTCCGGAGTCTTGTGACTCCAGCCAATCAGAGAGCAGTTTCTAAAAAGGAAGCTGGTTCTACGTAACGTTTGCGATTGGAAAACCCAGATAGATTTGATCATGGTCTCTGTATCCTGTCCATCTCTTGCTCGGCTTTCTTTCAATGTGGGATTTGTTCTTACCTGTTTTATTAAGACGTCAGTTTTATAGATTGTCAACTAATGTCCCTCTTGTCAACAGATTGTCCCTCTTGAGCCACAGATCTCTGCAGCTCCTCCAGAGTTACCTACTAGCTGGTTCCCTAATTAATTCTCTCCTGTCAGTTTAGGTGAATGTCTGATCTTGGTAGATGTCCAGTCGGTCTCTCCATGTTCAGACGGTGGATTGGTCGTCGCTCTGGGGACAGTTTGGGATGTTGTCGTAGAATCTAACCTTCCTTTTACCGTCTCCAGAACTTCCCCCTTCAGCTCGGTTCCTCTGCCTCATTCCATCATCGTTTTCTCTCCAATTCAAAACAAGGACCTACTTTGAGTAATTCAGTGAGAATAAGTCATGAGTGTCCATCTCCAGGCCTTACGGTTCCCTGTCCCGCTAGTTTTAGATCTCTCTGCTCCAAGACAGAAGATTCAAAAGGTTCAACTCTCAACACATCAAAATGTTCTGCAGAGTCCGGTTGATGACCGTCACTTCATTCAGGTGCTGATCCAGGGAAACAACCAAAACATGCAGAATTTCTACTGTTGTATGGCTTGATTTGTGTTTTACCCTACGTGTGCTGAACTCACCTCCAGCACCCCACCTCCTCCACCGGGCTTCTTCTTCAGCTCCTCACACTTCCTGAACTTGCAGATCTGGTGACCCGTCTTCCTGTTGCGGCAGGATGAGCAGACGCCGCAGTTGATCAGTCGTCTGCACGGGCCGCATACGCCACAGCGCTTCCGCTTCCTCTTCGCCACTGTCCCTGACGACGATGAAGATGATGAGAGAGAGAGACACCCCCTGCTGTCACCCCTGATGATGAAAGGGGAGGAGGAGGAGGGGCAGGGGGAGGAGTTGGTGTGCTGCTGGCAGTCCGTTAGCGCCCGCTGGCCGCTCGTCATCTGAAAAGCGCTGCTGGCGTCAGAAATCCCGCCTCCTGCGGATCCCATCGCCATGACGATAACCCCAGGGGGTAATCCCAGCCCCCCCAGGAAGCCACCGCTCATTACTCCTCCCCCATTGCAGTTGCCGCCCTCCGATAGGCCCATCATGTCCGGGTGGGCGTGTCCCTGCTTGTTCATGACGCCACAGTCGGCCCCGCCACTGTAACCAGGGAGAAAGTTCCCGTTGCTCGGCGCGATCGGGTGATGGTGCGACGTTCCCTGGCTGACAGGAAGTGACGCAGTGTGTCCCTGTTTCTCAGCTCCTCCCCCTTCAGTCCCGCCAGCGGCCCCTCCCCCCCCGGGCCCCCCGCCGCTCTGGTGCATGCTGCTGCTGTGGGGGTGCGAAGAGGTCATGTGACCTGGCGTCGCCGAGGGGTGGTGGTGGTGATGCGTTGGCGCCGTAGCTACGGGTTTGGGCCTGCCCCAGAACATGGCCGCCGGGTGGTTCATGTTCATGTTGTCATGGCAACCCCAGGGGGCTGTCGCCATGGCACCCAGCCTGGCAGCGGCGGGGGGGAAGATGGGAGCGGCGGCCGCCAGACGAGCCGCCAGTTTGGCCGACTGTGGGAAGTTTGTCACGTTCATGTTCATGTTGACGTTGGTCTTGTAGAAGGTGGCGATGGACGAGCGGTACCGGTCCATCTCGGTGGTGTAGTCCAGCATCGGCGCTAGGCCCGACACCTGCAGCAAAGACCTCCATCACTTTTCATCACGCCACAGACCAGCAATCCACCAGGCAGCTGATCGCATCTCAGACATTCAGAAAACACCAACTCACCTGGCCCTGGCTGCCGTAACCATGGTGATTTGGGTGATGGTGAGAGGGGGCGGAGCTTCTCTGCAGCATCGAGGAGAGGTCACTCTCTACACACACGCCGCTCGTCATTCCCGACATGACCTCTCACACGCACAAACACCATATGAAGACGTTTGCTCAGCTAGCAGTTAGCCCTGTGAGGTCACTGCGTTTTGGTCTGTGAATGAAAAAAGATCAGACATTGATTTCTACAGATCACATCACCTCCCATTCTGGGGTGACCTCTTACCCAATATCAGTTAATAAAAGAGCACAATCAGATCTATAGATGCTGGTTTATCAGATATTATATTCTTCCAGCATATCAGAGCACCAAGTCAGCCATATATTCCCCCTTTGACATGTTTGAACCTTTGTGTTCCCTGGTCAGCACTATTTCCTCCTCCTTTTGGCTTTAGACCTGGGAAAGCACGCCTCGTATCACCTCCTATATGCAACCAGCCCTACTCACTTATTCCAGTACAGTAGAGGGCGATATAGCATTTTGGGTTCGTGATGTAAAGCTGTTGATGCAAAGTTGGAACTCAAAGCTGGGAATGATGCCTCAACAAACCAAGCTGTATTGGGTCATCCTTATATTTCAGAAGATGTTTGACAAAACTGTTGGTGTCTATCTCCAGCAGTCATTGGGTAACAGACAGGGTGCACATCGCGGGGCAACCATACGCACCTAAGGACAATTTACAGAGACCAATGAATCCAATCTCATTTTTGGACTGTGGGAGAAGGTCAGAGTACCCAAAGAAAGCCAAGCCATGACCAGCAATCCATGCAAACTCCACAAAAAAGACTCCAAACCAGGCAATGATGCACCACCGTGCAGCCATAACCCCATGTAATGCAGCGATGCAATTCATTTTTTCATTGTCCAAAAATATGAAAGACACATTTACACACATGCTCAGACAAGATGGAGAGTCCTAGTTCAAACATTTCTTCCAGACATGGATAACAAGTTGAAGGTGATGCTGTGTTTTAGTCTAAATGTAACTGTAATTATTTTGGTTTGAAATATGTATTAAGTTAGCATATAAACTGGAACAGAAAAATATGCAGTAGTTCAGTCTAATTCAGTCGCTGTATGAAAAAAATGATTTGTAAAGCCGATGGAAGAGACCATACGTATTCCCTTTCTGAATCATAAAAAAAAACAAATCGGTAAAACAAAGAGAAATGAGAAGGTGCAACTCAGGGAACTAATCCTGATAAACCCCATGACATCATCATATACTATAGTCTGTTGATCCCCCTCTCTTTGCAACGACCCAACAGAAACTGAGTCATACAAAACAGTCCAAACCTAGAAAACGCAACGCATCGTTCTGGTTGCTTCTCTAAGGCAGGATCAACCTTAAAATCATCCTCAGACAGCATTACCATCCCTTGATGGTGGAAGGAAAGAGCCTCCATTTTGTTTGGGTCAGTCTGGGTGGTTGTACAGATTCATATTAGACAGGGTGGCTACCTTTGAAGCTACACTGTACCATAAGGTATTCCCAAATCCAGCGCCGTAACTTTTTCGGTACACCCTTAATTCTACACATTTGAATCAAATAGTGAATTACCAGAACTGTGCAGAGCTGACAGATGCTTAACGAGCCATTTGATCCAGATGTTGGAGAAGGGAGGTATCTAACGATGGTAGATCTCAAGGACCGGCTGTAGGGAATCCTGCTGCACAGCAACAAACCTCTAAGGTATGACTTCAGTTACCTCTAGCAGTGACAGAGACCCGACTCTAGTTTGGTGTTTCCTACAGACCATTTATCGTCAACATCGTTTTTACTTGCTGCTGCTTGTGTTTCGGTTCTCCTGTGACCGGCCAGGTGACCCCCACACTGGTCCCTGGCAATGGTGATGCATCAGACGATGACAGACAGCCGTCTCTTCCATGTCACTATTAATCTGGTTGTATCCAGGTCCAAAGGTGTTCAAAATCCTCTGACATCAGGATCACCAATGAGCTAAAACCACCAGATCTGTTTATCTTCAAAAATTGATTTTGAAAATGATTGTTGAAGAATCTGCATAATCAGCAGATATCCCAATATCCAGACTCAACCAGTCTGATGTTACGCTTAGAATGGGAAAGGAAAATCTATAAACTTGTTAAATCCTACCCCAGTCCCTGAAAACCAGTAATAATTTGATGTGATATTATAATCTCTTGCAAAGTTTTTCATTTCATTTCCGTTTAAGATGTAGTTTGTCACCCTGTGTTTTTAATTGCTAAGATCTGTCCCCAAAAGTGTTGACTTCCAGGAGACGTAATGTTCTCGTCCCAGTGGTGATGGCTACCCGGTTACCTCAACATTAACAAAAACTCCTGATTTTAACTGATTTTGTTTAGTTTGAGATTGAAAGACATCAGCGTGAACGTGTCGTCAAATCGTTCCAAACGATTTGAAAAGTCTAAACTAAGGCTCTACGACTGATTAGTGGCCCAAATACCCCCAACTTTTCGGTTCCATTAGAACATTTCCATGTTGACGTCTTTTCACTTTCATCCCATTATCTGTTTACACAGAAGGCAGAGAACCAAGCTGTGTCCTCAGTTTGGTTCCCAGGTTCAGTTTGGTTCCCAGATTCAGTTTGGTTCCCAGGTTCAGTTTGGTTCCCAGGTTCAGTTTGGTTCCCAGGTTCAGTTTGGTTCCCAGGTTCCCTGGTTCAGTTTGGTTCCCAGGTTCAGTTTGGTTCCCAGGTTCAGTTTGGTTCCCAGGTTCCCAGGTTCAGTTTGGTTCCCAGGTTCAGTTTGGTTCCCAGGTTCCCAGGAGGTTCTGGACAGTTGGGAGTGTTGCCTGGTCTCTGCCTCCATGGTGGCAGTGAAAACAGACCAGCCAGCAAAGCTTCGGTGTGTGAACAGCAGCAGACTGCCGGTGTGTGAATGAGTGTGAAATGTGGGTGTTTGTCAAAGGAAACAAACGCGTGCAGCCTCCAACACAGTGTGTGCCTATCGCGTGTGTGTAGTCAGTGTGGAAATGTGTGTCGGCTCGTGCGTGCGTGCGCGCGCGCGTGTCCCACCCCCTCATTCCCTCCTCCCCCCGCCCCCCCTCTCCAACCCTCAAACTCCCCCGAGGCGTAACTAATTACCCTGTCTGGTCAAGCGGGCCGGCGCGAGCTCCGACAGAAGGTCACAGCGGCCACCGACCGCGAGGGGAAAACGGCTCTCCCACGCGACACATTAACACCTCCCCCCCTCAGGCTCTGAAAGCCAAGGAGCAGGGAGGAGGAGGAGGGAGAGAGAGGGGAGGGAGCTGGAGGGGTGGGGGGTCAAACACAAAAAAGGCAGAGCCGATAACGACCGATAAATACCGTGAACGCAGCATGCAGTCCGATACAGCGAGGAGGAAGGGAGAAGATGGACGGCGCGTGCTGCTGCTACTTACCGGCCCCGCGAGGAGGAGGAGGAGGAGGAGGAAGAGGAGGAGGAGGAGGAAGAGGGTGATGAGGAGAAAGAGGAGGAAGGAGGAGAAGACCGTCTGGGAATTAGCCGCCACGGATCATGGCTGGCGGGGAAGGAGACAGAGAAAGAGAGGAGAGGAGGGGAGGGGGGGAGAGGAGCTCCGGGAGGGATTTGTCGGTCTGTTGGTACCAGGAGGAGGAGGAGGAGGTGATGGAGGGAGGGATAACGGGGAGAGGGGGTTGGAGGAGGAGGAGGGGGCGGATGGATAATCACCTGGGCTTGGCACAAGCGAGCGCGAGGCGGGGAGAAGGAGGGAGGGCGAGGCGTTAAATTAGCCCGGCCGAGGAGAAGGAAGCGGCTCTGTGGAGACCCTGCAGGGGAGGAGGAAGAGAGGCGAGGAGCTCGAGGAAAGCAAAGCGAGAAAACACAGCACCGCGGGAGGAGAGGGGCGGGGAGGAGGGGTGATGAATAATGGCGGAGGTTATGAACGGATACGTGCGTCGCTCTCGCGGCAGGGCGAGAAGGGGAGGGGGAGGCAGGGGGGCCACACGACGCTGATGTTCGGTAACAGAGAGGGGAGGCAGTGTGTGTGTGTGTGTGTGTGTGTGTGTGTGTGTGTGTGTGTGTGTGTGTGTGTGTGTGTGTGTGTGTGTGTGTGTGTGTGTTCTGCTGTCGGCAGCGCCCGTGGCGGCGCGGCGTGCCGCGCGCGGTGTGGACGGTCTGATTGGCGCGTGGAGAGGTGAGGAGGAAACAGGAGGCGCGAGAGCTGGCAGGTGATTGGCTGCTGGCCACTAACAGAGAGAGAGGCAGAGAGACCTTTGAGAGAAACGGGAGAGAGAGAATGAATGAAGAGCTCTGGGTTTTTCTGCTGTTTCCTTTTGTAAAACTGAAACTCCGGACTTTTCCCGACTGATTTGTGTGTTTTTGATAAAAATGTCTTAATTATATAAACTTTTTGAAGTTGTTTAATAATAATCCTAACACACATTAACTGATTTAAAAGCCCTTTTTACTTATTGTTACCTTCACACACTAAATGCACACTCTTAGTATTTCAGTGTTGAAGCTCTGGGGGAGCGATGGATGCTTGCAGCGTCTTGTTGAATCCAGAGGACACCAAGATGCTTTTCGCTACGTTCACACGCTGCTGGTGGAGAGCTGCTAGTCGCCTCAGCTGCCCTGGGCCAAACAGAGGTGCATCATGCGCCCTCTGACCTCCACCAGCAGGCAAGGCATTGTCATTGCCTAAGGACACAATGACAGAGGCTGACGGAGCGGGAATCAAGCCGGCAGCCACCAACTGAGGGACAAACTCTTTCCACTGTCGCCCCATACAGGGTGTAACAACGACACATTACACCCATAAGGCTCAGGCACCACACTGAGGAGAGAGTCACTGCAAGGCACCGAGGGACCACAGGGCAGAGGGGGCAACAAGGAGTCACTAGGGGGCAACGAGGAATCACTAGGGGGCAACAAGGAATCACTAGGGGATAAGGAGGAGTCAATAGGGGATAAGGAGGAGTCAATAGGGGATAAGGAGGAGTCAATAGGGGATAAGAAGGAGTCACTAGGGGATAAGGAGGAGTCACTAGGGGATAAGGAGGAGTCAATAGGGGATAAGGAGGAGTCAATAGGGGATAAGAAGGAGTCAATAGGGGATAAGGAGGAGTCAATAGGGGATAAGGAGGAGTCACTAGGGGATAAGGAGGAGTCAATAGGGGATAAGGAGGAGTCAATAGGGGATAAGAAGGAGTCAATAGGGGATAAGGAGGAGTCAATAGGGGATAAGGAGGAGTCACTAGGGGATAAGGAGGAGTCACTAGGGGATAAGGAGGAGTCAATAGGGGATAAGAAGGAGTCAATAGGGGATAAGGAGGAGTCAATAGGGGATAAGGAGGAGTCAATAGGGGATAAGGAGGAGTCACTAGGGGATAAGGAGGAGTCAATAGGGGATAAGGAGGAGTCAATAGGGCAGTGGTGGGAACTTCCAGGCCTCGAGGGTCTCCTGCAACTTTTAGATGTGTTTTTACTTCAACACACCTGAGTCAAATAATGAGTTCATTAGCAGAACTCTGGAGAACTTGTCTGTAAATAGGAAGTGATTCAGCTATTGGATTCAGCTGTGTTGGACCAGGTGGACATTGTGTCTGAGAGTTGCAGGACACCGGCACTCGATGACCAGGAGTGCCCACCCCTGTACTAGGGGGCAATGAACAACGAGGAGTCACGAGGGGCAACAAGAAGTCACTGGAAGGCGACAAGGGGCAACGAAGAGTCACTAGGGGTTAATGAGGAATCAAAAGGGGGCAACGAAGAGTCACTAGGGCTTAATGAGGAATCACTAGGGGGCAACAAAGAGTCACTAGGGGTTAATGAGGAATCACTAGGGGGCAACAAAGAGTCACTAGGGGTTAATGAGGAATCACTAGCAGCTGAAGTCAGGCTGGCAGCAGTGAGAGGCGTAGTGTCTGCAGCAGTGACTGGAGGTGTGAAGGGCGCAGGAGATGCAGCCGGCGCTCCGGCTGGAGGTGGTGCTGGTCCAGAGATGTTGGAGCGGGAGAATGGACTGTCCGGCTTAGGAGGCAGAAGGTCGACAGCCATGACAGCTAAAGCTGTCTGGCGTTCCCACGCTGCCTTCTGCTGCAGCTCCACCAAACTCAGCAAACAGAGATGGATGGACCTGCACTCCAGCACATAGAGGAGCTAATCACGATCCCAAGAGGCCCTAGAGGTCTGAAGGCGAAGTATGGCTCTGCCATAATCTCTCTATGGTCTTTGATTGTAGATTTTAAGTCATTGGGTCCATCAAGTATGTTTCTTAACGTGCCTCACTGTAGTTACTGCATCTGTCATGAAGTGCGGTTGTAGATGGTGAGACAGACACGGTGGAGTCAGGTTGAAGTGAAGGAATGATGACTTTAATGAACAAATACTCAATCCATTGACCAGGCAGCACAGAAAGAGCAGAAGTCTAAGAACTCATGACTGGTAGCAACTGGTAGTACAATAGACATGAGAACAACAAGAAGGCTGGACAACAAGAAGGCTGGACAACAAGACGGGTTGACAAGGACCCAACAAGGACCACAGGTGGGATTAAATACACAGAGGGTAATCAGGAAAACGAGAAGAATCAAGGGGTAGGCAGGACAACATGGAGATTCAATAGACACAGAAACCTAAAATAAACACATAGAAAACTCAGATCCCCACACACTCATAGCAGAATTGGTCTCAGCGCTACAGCTGAAGATAACGTCTGCAGTTTTCCATGTTTTTGCTCTCGCATGCCAAGTATTTTTGTGCCTAGATATTTCAGCTTCCCAAATTGCATTTTCTTTTAAATATTTTAGATATGCTCTTTGACAAGACTGTAAATAGTCTGATTTTCTATAAATAATTAGAAGTTACTTTCCAAAGAAAAACCAGTGTATCCAGAACCGTGAATCGGCACGGGTCCACTTTTTAAGACATAAATGTAAAGTCTCAACAGAAAACCTTCAGGAATCCTGAATTCAACAAGGTGAGAAAAACAGGGAGGCTTCTGCTCTAAAAATGACTAAATGTCGACATCTAGCGGAGGAAACGGGGATGTGCTGTTATTGGTTTGAGCTACTGGTTTTACTTGGATGTTCACCGACAGAAACTGTAAGCAGTTATTGTCACACCACCGGCAGAATCTTCAGTAATGCGGCTTTTATGTCGTCGAGTCCAGACTTTTACTCCGAGCTGATCCCGCTGCAGGTATGTTAGCTCCGCTGCTAGCGGTTAGCCTCGCCGTCAGCTCCGGGTGCCCGGGCTGCCGTTAATGTCAGCAAACGGCTAATATGGAATAAACGGAGCAGAACGACAGAGAACCGAGAACCATTCGGTAGTCGGGGTTAGAAAACCGAAGAACAGAACCAGCTCACATAGAAACAATAGCAGTTGTCATAGTGCTTTTCCTCTGTACAGTCAAGTGGAGACGTCGGGACGCTGGTGTATGTAAGCGTTGGTGGTATAGTGGTTAGCATAGCTGCCTTCCAAGCAGTTGACCCGGGTTCGATTCCCGGCCAACGCATAAGGTGACTTTTTATTTTTTGTTCTTTCGTGTTTATTTCATAATTTATTAAAATGTACATATCAGCTATTCGTTGCGAGACTTTCACAGTAAATGCAGGAATAACAGAAAAAAAGCAGGCAAGTACATGTAGTGACTATGTAAAACAATCTTGTTCTACCTAAATTTTATTTTTGATATGTAGTGTGGATTTTGCCAAATTCAATATTATGGATACTACACTTAGAAATTGGATATGTTTGAAGTGCTTTATTGAATAAAGTAAATGAAGTTGCTGAATGTTCTGTGGCCTCCAGCAGTGAGTCCAGACATGGGCCGGTACGTCTACAGCGAGGCCCACATCAAGAGTCCATGGCATCAAGTTCTGGCTGCTTTCTGGCAACGCTACCCAAACCCATACAGGTGATTACTCTAAGTAGTGGCCTCCAAATCATAAAAACATTAGAAATATGTGAGTCATATCTTCAAATCAGTCAGTGGACATGAACTTTAACCTCTGGTAGATCACTATCACCTCCACTCACCACACAGCCCAGCTGGTGTGGAGAAACATCTTTATTGACATTTTAAGGCTGAGTATGTCTGGGTCTTAAGCTAGAAGCTGATTGGACCTCTGGTTTTGTGTGCCAGCACTCATGTCCTCACAGAGGACGTCCTGTACCGGGAGGTCACCTCCGCCAACCTCTTGTTGTCACGGAGACTGCTGACCAAAACCAACCGGTTGCCAGGATGGGCGGAGCACATCTTTCCCACCCACATGGCGCGGGCCGTCTACGTCCTGGAGGACTCCATCGTGGACCCGGAAGCCAACACCCTCATCACCAAGACCTGGAACCTGAACCACAACACCCTGATGGTGAGACATGGCAATGTTTCTGTGGACGTCGTCTGTGTCCTGTCTGAGGGAAGTACTGCTATTTCATTATTGATTTGAAGTGAAATGTCCAGTTTTAATCCTCTCAGACGGTGGTGGAGCGCTGCATGATTGAACAGGACGGCAGTCAACCCACATGGACCAAACTAAAGCGAGAAGCTTGGATCTCCTCTTCTGTTTATGGGCTGGCCCGGCCCATTCAGGTAACATAAAAATACCAGCAAGTTTAATCGAATCTTTAAGACCTGGACTCAGTGTCTTCATTTTGATGAACCTCACGACTATAGAAAAGAAAGTATGGGGAAGACATGAAGTGGTGTGCATTGTACCTGAACCTGGTCCATCCAGGACATGTGAAACGTTCCTGGATGAGAGCATTGATCACCTGTAGTTAATATGTCCAGGTAAGTCATTTGTCTAACTGTCCCTATTGGTCCATAGGAATTTGGCGTAGCGCGGTACAAAAGCAACCAAACTCAAGCCATGAAGGGGTTGGACTACGCTCTGACCAAGATACAGAGTAAGACGAAGATTAGTATTTATCTATCGCACGAAAACACCTCTTACTTACCTCACCAATACAACCACAGGGTGACTCAACAGCTGGGTGGTAGTGGACACCATTCAGAGGAGCTGTAGCTCAGAGGTAAAGGTTGTCATCCTCCAAATGGAAGATTCTGGTTCTGCCTGTGGCAACCTAGTCCAGATCTTTATCTTTAGTCAATTCCTGAGATACTTAAGAGGATTCTGTTTTCTAGTTCATGTGTTTTGTGGATGCCTGTAGCTTCTGAGGCATTTTTAAGGTACCAGGGTTATTTTTACTTTTACCTCTTGTATTCCTTCTAAACCTAAAGCAAATGTCCATTTTCCCGACACACAGTCTTTGTTTGTGGCAGTTATGTACAGGGTCTTGGGAACCTCCTGGTCTCATCTTTGTATTTTAAAGGTAATTTGGTTCTGTTGGTCTCTTCAAGCCATGTCGTTCATCATACAGTGTAGCAGTTGGTGGCTGAGTGTAAAGCAGCTGGAATGAGTAAAGGCTCCTCAAACTCTTAGACTGGTTGCACCAACTCAACCTTGGTGTTGCTTACAAATGAGTTTGATGTGAACCTGGCATTAGATGCCAAATGTGTCTCGATTTGTACACAAAGAAAATCTCTTAAAACCTGGCAGCTCTCTGTAATATTTCTATACAACGTTCTTCCACTAGATGTCGCTGTATGTGCAGATTGTACCTTAATGCTACTAGCATATTTCGGTTAATTGTTGTTAAATAAAAGACGGAAGAATAAAATATATTGAGATGCCATCTTTCTCCAAATATTTGTTCCAGTATATAAAACATTAAAACTGAAGGTTTACTTACTTATTACCACGACTGTATTTGTTCTTTAACTTTACGTTGGATTACTATACATTCACTACTTTATCATAGTAATACAGATTCTTGCATCAACCAGTCTGTTTTCTATTGTCTTCCTCCAGGTGAAGAGCTTTCCTGTCTCAATGGCGACCAGGAAGACTCAGAGAAACCCAAGCCCCGCCCACCAAATGCCCCGCCCTCTCCATCCAAGAAACCCAATCAGTTTGCCTGAAACGGTAACAGGAGTCAACAAAATCTGCTGCTCTGAACTCATTGGTTGTAAAGTTACAGATTAAAATTGGTTACTTAAATTTGCCTTTTTTAAATAAGAATTAGTAGAGATTTTATTTGTAATTTTATTGATTTATTGAGTGTTGCTGTCATTTTTACACAAAGAAACAATTTATTTTAAATGTATTATAACAGTTCTTGTTCAATAAATTTCTCTTTTTTATCTATCATTTTTGTTTCTTGTGTTCAATAAACATGATTTATAAAACTACTAATTCAGCCATTTATATTGAGTTAAAAACACACAACTTTGTTCAAATTATTTGCACTTAATCTAAAAATGTAGCACTGAATGAATGCTGTATGAGGTGAAAGCTTTGAGGTGAAGATAAATTGATCTAATGTCTCTTAGCAGCTTATCAGATTAACGTCTCTGTTGTTCAGACCGACATTAAAATGTGATAATGGTGCTGTTCCCTGTTTGCTTTACAGGCTCAAGGTGTTTCGTTTAACTTTGAATAAAATATAAAACGCGTAAGTTCCAGTAAAATAACCCCAGTAAACCCTATGGGTACCAGTAAGGTACTCTGAACCCAGTAAAGTAACAAGTTGGTCCCAATAGGGCTGAAGAACATAACGCGATATAAAAGTTTCATATCAGTTGATATTAACAATTATTGATCATATTTTGATGTGACTCTTTATGTTTTATCCAGTTTCTCTCCAGTTTAAGGCAAAAGCCTTAATCCTGCTGTGTCCCAGAGTTCAGGGAAATTATCAAATATAATATTTCACATACTTTTATCAATATTAATCACGTGTCTATCACGACATATATTGTTATTGACTTATTGCCCAGTCAGTTCCAGTTAGTTTAGGGCTCCAGACCTGTGGGCTCTGTGAACCTTTTATCTTCCGCTAAGTATCATAATGATGCAACACTTTAGCTTCTGCTAAACTGAGTGTGGTGCTAACATTTTAGCGCTACAGTGCCTTAGTATTCAGTGATTCAGTTGATAGTATGTTGAACTTTATTTTTCACTGAGCTCAGGCCTTTTAGTGACATTTTTCTACCAGTTTTGGTCCACTTTTCTTTTTATCTTATCACAGTCACTAAAACGTCTCATTGGATTTGACGAAGCTGAAATGATTAATCTTGCAAATGAACTCAGAGACACGGAGCTCAGGGTTGAATCGGTGTCGTTCCTGTTGTTCTGTTCAGAAAATTCATCTGAACAGAAAAAACTGATTTTATTTAACTCAGGTGAAATAAAGTTCAGAAGCTGAACACTGATTCTCTGTTAAATCAAAATAACCAAATTAAGATCGATAAACGCGCCTTCTGCCGCCGCCTGCTGGCGTTATCATGTAACTGCATGTTTTTATAAATATTGTTACCTTATAAATTCACTTAAATCACATAATTTACAAAGTATTAGAAAAAACATCAAACAGCAGAAAGAACCTGGACTGTAAGGATAGTTATTTGTCTAATAATCAGTGAAATAAAATTATAAATACATATTTTAGCCATTATTTAAAACGCACAGATTTATCCACTTATTAATGTTGCATTTATATAAATACTTTGTAAGCGTATTTTTCACTATAAACAACAATGATTAATAAACAATAACCTGTCGAAGAGCAGAAAACAGATTGGAAAAACAGGAGTTTGGCCTTTTAAGGGTAAATGTCAATAAACACACGGTCTAAAAAAGGTTTTCAAACACCCTCAATATCCCACATTTTGTTATATTAACATCGTTATGCATGAAATGCTGTAAATAGGAAAGTGATTCTGTAAGTTACTTTATTATACAGAAATAAATAGATGAATAAATAAATACTTGAGAACTTTTCAGACTCATTTTGCCGTTTTTCTGTTTTCTGCTATGAAATAATCAACATGTTGCTTGAAGTTTTTCGACATATATCAAGAAGTTTCTCCTGTTGCTAGGAGCTGCAGCCTCCCTCTGATTGGCCCGCAGCCTCTCTGCTCGGACCAATCAGAGGCCAGAGCGCGCGTCATCAGAATCCATAATCCGCCTGTTTTGATCCTCATTTTCTACGCCGGTGGTTTTCTGGGTTCTGGTTCCGCGGCTGGATGTTTGGACCGGACCTGCTGGCCGAATCCCGAGCAGAGGCTTAAAACCGGCAGACTGATACTGCGGGACGTCCAGCTGCCACAAACACACACAACGAGAACTTCCTGTTCTCGTTGTGTCATCTTTACAAAATAAAAGGTTTCCACCAAACGATCACACCAAACGTTATTGATGAAGCCATTAAATTTTTGTATGTTTTGTCATCTGTAATAAAAAATTTGAAATCTGTGACAAAATGTAAATTAAATCCAAATTTAAAACTACTTTATAAATGCCAAGGGGAAAATAAATGTCATTAAAAATGTTTTATCTTCTGTTTTCAAAACTACAGATGCAGAGGCCTGTTTCAATCAACCAATCAATCAATTTTTCATTTAGTTTTGTATAATTTACATGTTTTTGTTTGTTTTTATTGAATTTGAGGTTTTGTTTGTTAGGTTTAGTTTTTATTTGGTTAAGTTGTGATTTAAACTGTTTCCAGATCAGCGTGTGAAAAGTTCGGTGCTTTTACTTTGAAGGGATCCCAGGCCAGGAGCGGAAGTGCTCGCAAAGAGCTGCGTGGGCTTCACGTGGCGCTGGCGCTGATGGCGGCGGGGCTCGCGGAGGGTTTCACTGAAGCGGGAGCGCGAGGAGGCGGGGGACAGACGGCGGAACCGAGCGCCGACGCTCCGCCAAGCGAGCCGTGAACACACCGAGCCGCGCTGCTGGGAGGCCGCTGACTGGATGGAGGGGTACGGCTGTTTTTGTGTGAATATCCCGGAGGGGTGGTGGCTGGCGGCCGCTGGAGGGGCCGTTCGTGGCTGGGTAACCCTGGACACCAGCGCCGTTATTTTTAAAACGCTGCGTCTGCGTGAAACCAAAGGTTATGTGGCCTTTATGTGGCCTACGTGCGTGTGTTGCGTTCACTGACCGTGGGTCGTCATGTTTACCGGGCTGCAAAGGGGGTGCGTGCGTGTGCGCGCCTGTGTGTGCGGCACTGCAGCATGCAGACAGAAGTTGGCCCGGTGAGGGCCGCCGCGGCCCCGTCAGTGCGGGGACCACCGGCTGGGGGACATCTTGGTCCGGGCGGCGGCTAAAAATCGGAGGAAACGTCCCGATGAGGACCGAGACTCTACAGCTGCTCTTCTGGGAGCCAGACATTCCTCAGCTTGTGAGGCGTTTAGGAGGAAAACCTGGAACATTTTGTGTCTAAGATTACAGAGTGGTGAATATTTACTTACCCTGTGTTGTTCAAATATCACTGAGATTTCCTCCTGCATTAATGTTATCAACGCTTCATGATATTATTGATCCTGTGAAACACAAACTGCAGGAAGCAGGGCTGTTTTTCTGAGTGAATGTTCCCTCCCAGGATTTTGTTTTAGTTGTTTCCCAGGGTAAACTCCTGGTTTTAGTTTCTAAATGGAACATTTAATCTCTAAACATTTACCAAAATATGAAATGAATTACAGTAGACGTCCTGTTTTCACAAGGATTCGGAACGACAACCAGCTAAAGTTTTCCCTAAAAACGTGTATAAATGTTTTTGTCACAGTTTAAATGCTGAATATGCTGTAAATATGCATCAAAACGCACAGTGGAAACTGTTTTAGCTCTATAGCATCAGCTAATGTCAAAAATGAAATTTTTTTATATAAATAACAAAAACTAACAAAATCAAGCAAAATATTTTTTTTCCAAATCAGTCTTTTAATAATAATAATAATTTAAAAAAACTTTTGAAAATTGAAAATTGAAAACGAGAGTCCATAAAGGTCAGTATCTATCAGGGCTGCCTCCCCCAGATTAAAAAAGAAAAGAAAAGCTAACAAAAACTTCAGATAACTAATAAACAGATATTTTTAAGTCAGAAATGTATTTGTAAAACTGGATTTATGATTATTAGGAATTAATCCAATGGAGAGCAAAAAAAAAAAAATTGAAGACAGAAATTAAGTGGTACAACTGAGCATTGACCCTCCCTAATGGACAACCTGCCCCGTGATTTACGCTCTGACCTCCTTAAACAAGAACTTACACTCAACTGGGAACAATGCATTGTAATAATTTGTGTATTTATTTTATGTAATATTTATTATTTTTCCCCTTTTTCCAACCTTTTTGCCCTTTAAATTATTTCAGTTTGTATCATAACTTTGCTGGTTGTGTGTTTTGAAAGTAAAACTGACAATTTTATGTAACCTCAACAAACAGGTTATTATGAAATATAACCTGATAAACAGGAGCTGACATATTATCACAATATATATGTACATATTGTGGCGTCTGGCTTCTCCAGGCGCTGAATCGTGCTGCATGTCTGACGTCAATTATGTGGAAAAGTTGGATGAAATGCAGCGAGACCGTTCTGGCTGCAGACGCTTTGAGAACCATCAGATGCGTTTCCCATTTAGTTTCAAAGACAGGAAGTGGAAAAATGTACTTTTTTGAGATGTGAAAATCAGACTGCTGAGAAAAAATCTGATTTGTTTTGCCTCAAAAATGTATTAAAATTCTGAGTGTTTGAAGAAAACTGAACAAGTTCTTTTGTTTGGTACTTTATGCGCTGATAAACTTTTAAAAATAATAAATTTTAACTTTTCAGAAAATGTAGAGAATAAATGGAAGCATTCAGATTTATTTCTGCAGCTTTTCCAGGATGGGGGCAGAGAGTTTACTGATGTACCTATAAACATGATTTCCAACCTGGTCTCCAGAAGTATAGCTAAACACGTATGTGTGTGTGTGTGTGTGTGTGTGTGTGTGTGTGTGTGTGTGTGTGTGTGTGTGTGTGTGTGTGTGTGTGTGTGTGTGTGTGTGTGGTGGACAAAGTGGCTTCATTGTGTCTCTCGAGGTTAAGTCGGTGCAGAGATGAATATCAAACAGGCTGTAGTAGTGGCTGTGTGTCACGCTCTGTTGTTGTTTATCAATAAACCGTTG